TTCCTCTTTGGAGTCAACTTCTTTGCTGGAGCTGCAGTGGGCATCCTCTCTGGAGTACTTGTTGTGGCTTGTGAAGAAGTATTTTCTCCCAGCAAGAAAGCAAGGCGGCTGCACGTATATGGCCTACACCCTTCTAGAAAACCATCAATGCATGGTTTAAGTGCACAAAAAAACCGATGAAAATACACATTACCATCTGTTTCTAGTACTTCAATCTCCACAACACTTTCAGGTGACCTCTTCAGTACCTCGGCCTCTTCCATCTGTATAACATCTCAAAACTCTCTTCCCATTTACCATAAACCTCCGCAAGAGCTTTTTCTTTGCCCCTCCAAACTGTGTCATATGAAATTGTGGTAGGGTATTGTTCATGCAACTTTTTCTGCAATTCTTTAGCACCCATATTTGGTGAATCCCTAAGGATACTCACGGACTTGCTAGCTACCCAATTCTGAGATAGTGTTATGGTCTTCACCCTGCTGCTTGAAATACAATCATGTTGATCAACTAAAACTGTGACCTGCAGATATAGAATTTTAAAATGAATGGAAGTTATGTAGTACAATAGGACATAGAAATAGACACATACATAATTTAAATAATAAATGGAGGTCAGATAGTTATCCATATTTCACCTTTATAGTGCACTTATCATCTTGTAGGCTGCCAACAATTCTCCAAGGGCAATCTTCACTTTACTTCCAGAACCCTCTAAATCTCTTCTTATCTGTCTTTTCTGTGCCTAGATCAAACTCCTCATTAATGGCAAATTGCCTCACTGCTAGCCTGAATTCCTTCATTGATGGGTACATAGTGCCAAGTTCCATTTTTGGGTGGTCCTTATCCATTTTTGGGTGGTCCTTCAGTATCACCCGCCTGCTCAACCATTCTACGACCCTTTGGTTCAGTCGTCTTTGATCTCTCTTCCTCATCCTTCAAGCCCAAAATCTCACATAGTTGATCTTTACTCACCAGCTCAATTCTACCTTCATCATCATGTGTCTCTACTATTTGTATGTTATCCCAATCGACTTCCGGGATAGGTGTTATTGTTTGTACAGTTGAAGAAGCATCAGTGAATAACAATGGAATATCAGTACCACTTGCCAACACGACCTCGGAATCACGCCTAGTTGACACAGTTAGAAAAACATGAACACGAGATTGAGTTAGCGGTCGTAAACAAGTCAAAAATCATGGTCATGAATCATGATTTACTAACGCATATATGTAGCATACAGAAAGGGAGAACATCAAATCTTCCATTTTAGGAAAAAGGAGGCATCATCATGATAGTTATTTGTTAACCACCATACTAAACTAGTACTGTAGCATTTAGAAATTAAGAGATTCAGAAAATTCCCTAGTACACTTTGCCTGAATCTAATGTGGTTCCAATGGCATGTAGGATAACATGACATCATGCTAACTGAACTATGCAGAATAGAATTTACATATTCTCAGTTTTCCCTAGTATACCTCGACTAATTGTAAGTTGTCTCTGATGTGCAGGTTAACACAAGTAATGACATAACCAAAGGTATAGGTAGAAGAATACTATGTAGAAGGATTGGATTCCATTCTGCCGCTGCAGAACCCAGCGATCTGGAGATCAATGCGCAGGGCAGCGATTGACAGCATGCGACGCCTAGACAAATCAACGACGCACTTACAAGCAAATCCGCAAGCAAAATCAGCCCCACAATGCACAGGTAGAAGAGGAGCCGGTGGATCTTGGGGAGGAGGGGGTTTGGAGAACTCGTGAGCGATGATCTCGGCGGGCGGCGCGCTCTGAATGGCGTTGTTTCAAGTTGGATGGTAAAAACAAAGCAGATCGTGAAACTAGTACGTGCGCACATGCTAGGGGTATCTTGGTCTCTTCAGGTGGCAGAAAATGAGAAAAGAAAAGGAAAAACGATGGAAAAGAGGAAATGGCATGGTAATCCAGGTGCACACGGGCTAGATGGCATTTTTGCGAAGCCAATATTGAGAGTGGCAGTTTTGCGAAGCCCAATATCGAAGGTGGCAAATAGCCGAGACCTCCTATATGCCGCTCGCTGCGGCAAAGTGCCGACGTTTCGCACAGGGCGCCGCTAGCCTGGGTTGGCCCATTTCCGGTGGCACGATCGCGAGATGAAATAACGCAAAAAAAAAATTAGAGCACGCTTGAACTAGGATTCGATCCAGCGACTTTGTGTTCCATGGTGCGATGTGCTAGCCAACGCAACAGTCAACTTCTCATGTTATTATTACAGCGTCATACATAGAGAAACATACAACAGCGGCAGGTATCGAACAAATGACCTACAGCAGGTGAGGGACACTAATAGCCACCATAATTCCTGGGATTTCGTACATAAAAATGGAAGTCTGCCTTATACGATATAAGCCAAAACAGATTTAAAAATATTTTTAAAATTTTGAATGTGATTTTCTTTTAAAAAAAGATAATATGTTTTGAAATGCAACATTTTTATATTTCATAGCAAAAAAATAAAACTTGAAACATTTTTGGGAATCTCAAACTTTTTTTCAAAAAAACAAGGAACAACATGAAAATTAGATTTTGTTTTCAAAATGAAGAAGAATTTCTTGAAAATGCAAAACATTTTCTAAAAGCAGGAACAAAAAATTGAAACCGCGAACATTTTTCAAATTTTATGAACATAATTTTCAAGACATGAACACTTTTTGAATTCCCCTGAACATTTTTCGAATTAGGCGTCAAATTTTGAAAAACATGAACATTTTGATGATGTGAACAAATTTGAAAAGGGGGAACATTTTTTGGAAATTCCCATTTTTTGAATCGGTGAACAAAATTTAATAAATGTGAACATTTTTCCAAAGTCCCAATCATTATTTGAATTTGAGAACAAAATTTTAAAACATGAGCATTTCTTGAATTTGTGAACAAATTTGCAAAGCTGGAATATATATTGGAAACGAGAATATTTTTTGAAATCCCAGAATTTCTTGAAGAACGAACATTTTTTGAAAAATGTGAACAAAATTTTGAAAACAAGAACAATTTTGAAACTTGAACATTTTTTTAAACTATGAACAAATTTCAAAAACAAGAACGTTTTTTGATAATTTTAAACAATATTTGCAATTTTCAAACAAAATAAACAGGAAAAAAGGGAAAAGGAAAAAGGAAAGAAAGAAAACTAAAATAAAGCTTGGAAAAAGGAAATGAATATGAAAGAAAAAAAGGAAAAACGGAACGAAAAATAAACAGAAAAAAAGGAAAGAGTAGATAATATAAATATAAACAGGAAAAATTAAAAAAAAAGAAAAAAGAAAGGTAGCAAGAAGAAAATAAAAACCGGCTCAGGAAGGTTCCCAAAACCGGAAAACCCCGTCCAGAAACCTCTAGAGAGTTCCCGAAACCAAGATCGCTGAAGCAATAAACGGGCCAGCCCAAGACGAGGGATCGCTAGGTCTCCCTGTGCGAAACGGCGACATTTCGACGCAATGAGCGTCCGTTAGGGAATTCCCATTTTCTCCCCCTGGACGGTTAAGCTGAGTACGCTCCCTCAAAAAAAAAAAAAGCTGAGTACGCAATGCCTGCTGCCGAGTGCCGACGCGCACACCCGACCGTCAATGCTTAAGCGCGAAGGTTTATAGGCTCTCACGACGACGGTCATCATTCCGGGGAAGCTATTAAATCCCAGATCTGAAAATCCTCTCCATCCTGCTACCCAAACCGTCGGCGATCTCAATCAACATCGACGAACAATTCTCATGCTTGATCTCACCTGATCCGAGATCCTGGAAACCCTCGGCGATCTCAACGAGCGCGTCGTTCCGGAGGACACATCACCGGCTTGGTCGCCGGATCGGGATGGAAGGCGATCCGATGGGCGTGGCGCTGCCCGAGGACGCCCTCGCGGAAATCCTCCGCCGCCTCCTGCCGCGCAGCCTCGCCACCTCGCGGTGCGTCTGCAAGGCGTGGCGCTCCATCGTCGATGGCCGCCGGCTGCTGCTCCCGGAGCTCCTGCCGCACTCGGTGCGTGGCATCTTCCTCGAGTATAACGAGGCCTCTTACCCGGGTTTCCTCTCTCACCCCTCCATGGTGCCGGATGATATCTTGGGCAAGCTCAACTTCCATCGTCTTCCCCCCGACCCCTACCAGTGGACCTATACTCACATCGAGGGTCACTGTAATGGGCTCCTGCTTTACCGAGACAGGCTAGGGCTCCAGGTGGCCAACCCCGCGACGCAGTGGCGGGCACGCTTGCCCCCGCCGCCGGAGAGGAAGAGGGAGGGGGGGATCGTCCGGCCGCACCTTGCGTTTGATCCAACCGTGTCATTGCACTATGAGATCTTGCTCGTCCCTCAAACGCCTCTCCCAGAGGAGAGGGGCCAGCCCGAGCCGTCCAAGGAATGGCCAGCATCCACATGGGTGTTGTGCTTGTTTTCATCACGCACGGGGCAGTGGGAACAGAGGGCGTTTCTCCGCGAAGGCGAGGCTGCAGGGATGGCTTCCGACGAGGTGTTGCACTGGACGTCAAATAGCTGCAGCACTTATTGGCACGGCATGTTATTTGTACAGTGCAACGGTGGATTCACTGTTATGAGGTAAGGACCACATGCAATTCAGTTGTGTTACTCCAATGCAATGATTTCTGAATTTAGTCATCTGCTCATATGTATGTATTTGTAACGCGAATGTCTACTCCATGAGCCTGTTATATTTATTTATTTTGTGAATCGAGCCTGTTATATATTTGTAACAGTAAATATATCATTGCTCTATGTTTGATATTTGGATACAATATATGACCTTTAAACATATTTTCTCTGAGTTCATGTTTCCACGTGTAGTTGCGTCCATCTGCATCTTTCTTGCCCTGCTTTTCCTCTTAAAACATTAAGCAATTCCACCAATGTTAAATGTATTGTTGATGGTTTCATGTTTTGCAGAATATCCTTGTCAAATAATAAGTATCGGGTGATTAAAATGCCAACAGATATTGAGGAATCAGACTATGATGAGCTTCATCTAGGACGGTCAAGGGAAGGGCTATGTTGTGCAACATTTCGTGATCGGACCAACCTTCGTGTTTGGATCCTTGACGATTCATGTGGTACGATGGAGTGGGCGTTGAAGCATCACATTGACCTTGACCAGAGTTTATCACGTGTAATGTGGCATTGTGGGGAAAAGGAGGGACCCTGGAGTTTACAGGATGCTATCAATGTTGAACACTATGGTCAACAGGATTTAAATGATGTTAACATGGATGAAGATCACAGCAACAATTCTTTTGTGAAGAGTGAAGTCGAATGGGATTCCGACAACGATAATATAGGTGACAATGAATCTGAGGTCGTAGAGAGCTACTTACCCTATGTTAGTTTTCTTGGATTTCATCCTTACAAAGAAGTCATCTTCTTGGATCTTCTTTCGCTAAGAAGAGCAGTGGCCTACCATATGAATACCTCAATAGTGCAGGATTTGGGTAATATATGGCCCAATGACTACCACGCTGGGCACGCGGGAGACATAAAAAGGTCTTTTCTGTACACACCTTGTTTGATAGCAGATTTCCCAGAAAACAAACTGAAAGCCCATGTTGAAGGCTAGCTAGCCAGCTTATTTGTTTCAAACAGTTTTGAGTCCTCAAGACCTATGTTGTACTTGTCTTTGACTCCATGTTGTTTTAATGTCTGCTACCTTGACAAGACAAACTTGTTTACAGCTTGAATTGCCGAAGGACATGTAAGCAGTGTTATGCTCCAGCAAAATTTCGTTTGTGAACTGATTGATTTATCCATATATAATTCATCAGGCTAGTCATCTTGGCTCAAAGAATAGGATTGGCTTGTTGCTGTAGCATTGTTTAGAAATTCTATTGGCTCACAGGTTAGTTTCTTAGTTAGATTTCTTAAGTTAATCACCATTTTGTTTCTTTCCATAATATCCCTCTAGTCTGTGTGTAAATTTTACAAGTATGGTGGCATCCACTTGCCTCCATTGCTGAAGGATGGAACTTGTTTATTGATTGCCTAGGTCACATTTGGCTTGCTCGTGTTGTCTTCAGAGTTTCTCATCAGCAACATACATACCCCACTTCGATTAAGAGCGTGCATGCATAATTATACCTGTTCTTGCTTTTTATCTTCAAAAAAACTTGTCATTTTGGTAAATATGTTGGCCTCATGGTTCGTGTTGATAATGGAAAGTTTCCAACCTATAACTGCTAGGAGCATCATTGTTTTTTGTTCCACTTTGTTTGTAATGAGATATCTTGTATATTACATTATTGAGTTGTTAATTTCATGTTGTCAGTTCTTAATTTCCAGCTCCAAGGAAATCATGTTGGTGTGCATCTTTGAGTTCATCTTCATCACCAGTGGGTAAGCGGCTCTTCTACCACGGAGTGATATCATAAGGAGCTGGCAAGGTTCTTCTGGCAGGCTGCCGATGGCCGCCCAAAATACCACATGGTCAAATGGGCGGACATCTGCTTACCTAAAGATCGAGGTGGGCTAGGTATGACGGCCTCTCGGCACATGAATGTCGCCCTGATGTTGCATTGCATCTGGCGGATCTTGCGTGGAGAGGGCGGTTTGTGGTTGCCAAATACTTGCGGGGTGCGCCCCTCTTAGACATGCTCGCGCGTAGCTGGGTCTCAATTCTGGAAATCTATCCAGAAGATTAAGCATGAGATCCGACTCGGTGCCACCTTCTCGGTTGGGAATGGGAATGACACTCAATTCTGGCTCGATCATTTGTTGGGTGATGAGCCACTACGCATTGGTTTCCCTAGCCTTTTTGCTATTTGTTCGGACCCGTATATTCTGGTTTCCGTGGCGTGGCCCAGTGGAATATCGCGTTCTGCCGAGCATTTGGCCAGGAGGAGGCTCTGGAATGGGACAGACTGAGGGCCGCCGTCCTGTCGGGGCTATCACAGTCCCCTGACATTGTCTCCTGGAGTCTCTCTCCTTTGGCCGTCCCGTCGGGGCTATCCACAGTCCCCTGACATTGTCTCCTGGAGTCTCTCCTTCGGCCGTCCCGTTGGGGCTATCCATAATCCCCTGACATTGTCTCATGGGGGAGAATTCTCCATTAGTTCGGCATATCAGGCGTTGTGTCACGCTCCGGCCATACAGTGGCTATCACCACTGTGGAAGGCCCCTGTGCCGCTTAAAATAAATATATTCGTCTAGCAGCTGCTCCGGAACCGCTTGCCCTCAAGGACTGAGGTCCTTAAGCGCAGCAGTCCGGGCGATGGCATGTGCCCCCTCTGTAGTGTTCTAGAGACGGGCACTCACATCCTGTTTTCTTGTTCCGCGGCACGAGCTCTATGGAGCTTTATTCGGGAGGCACTCGGGCCCGATTGGGAGGCCGGAGACCTGGCCGAGTTCCTACAAGGCAGGGTGACCCAGCCGGGTCACAAGCGCCGCCTTTTTTGGTGTATTTTTGTGGCATTGATGTGGGCTCTTTGGACAACTCTCAACAAAATGGTAATTGAGCAGATCTTTCCACAACGGACTTCTGACTCGTTTTTCAAATTTCTTACTTTTTTACAGTACTGGCACCTGCTTGCTAGACATCGGGTCCGCGACCTGCTTGGAGTGATGTTGGATGCGCTAGTGGCAGCGGCGCAACATCTTTCTGCTCCTTGGGCTTGCTTCGGAGTTTGCCACTAGGTGGCCTCTTTTATTTCTTCTTCGTTTCTTGGGCGTGCTTGTGCTACGGCCCCAGCCGTCTGTTTCTACTATTGGTCCTGGGACTTGGTTGTATGGAGGTTGGCTTTATTTATAAAGCGGGGCGAAAGCCTAGTTCGAGAGTGGTATCATAAACAGTTTGTCTAATTTACATCTATGTTTTTTAAGGATATCACATCTAAGCTCCCACAAATAGATTATGCAGCAACAAGAAACAAAAAAATAGGACAAAAAATAGACCACAAATAGAGTGGACATGAGCTTAGATATATGTCACATCTAGATGTGTTTTAGACAGACCTTATCATAAAAGCTAAAAATGCATGTGTCTTCATGTGTGAATCTTCAGCGGTAGTTCCAAGTTTGCTGCTCGACAATTTTCAGACTACAAGTAAATTGATAGTCAATGCTCTTATCTGTAATACGAGTTGGTCTTCGACGTGTTAAGCACAAATGAGTAAACAGACCCAACAATAGTCTAATGATGTTTATTTACAGTCTTAGATTTGTAATCTCGCATGAAAAGCATAATTAAAATCACAAGGAAATCATCTTCTTATGCTCAACAACACTCCAAGAGACGATTCTGCAATTTAATGTCTGCTTCCTTTTTTGTCCTTAGTAGAACATGAGTTAATTAATTTTCTGATAATCTGCGAATCTCCAAGTGAGTATTGTTGGCTCGAGAATCTTACGGGAGTTAGGGATTTAATATTGTATAAGTGAAAGGGAATAGTCTTTTTAAGTAGCAATCGGAGAAAGCTTACAGGTCATTCAGTCTTGGCTATGAATGCGGGTGTTAATTGCTACTCGATAAATTTAGAATTAATATCATTCTTTTGTTTTCTCTGACAACCAAGACGAGTGTTGTGCTCACTGAACTGGTGATGTTCCTTTCTCCAATTCTTCACCTTGATTACTGCCACCTATTTCCTATTGGTGACTGAGTCTTGATACCATGTTTGTATAGATAAAATCACCCTCCATTTCTACGTTAAGTAATTTGGGACGGAAGGAATACTAAGGTGGTTACAAATTTGTTTCTGCTTGAAAATGCAACTATCCATGGGTGGTTTTAGTAATTCTTAACAACATATAGCTCATTAAACTAATACTCTTTCAAGACGATCATTTCAAAAAGTTCAATGATTGGCGTGACATGGACTAGGAATGTGGACCCCTCAAAATGCTAAGGACACATGTTGGCTCAAGCTCAAGACTCTACATTTTCATTTTAGTAATCCAAGATCACATTGAGTCCATAGGAAAAGTCAATACTATTAAAAGGGATGAGGTGTTGCTTAATGGCTTGCTTGCTCAAAATGCTTAGTGATATGCTCCAAAATCCCTCATCCACTTTCTCATATCCACATATGTCCCAAACCAAAAGTCAAACTCGGCCCCACCGATTTGATCTATCCGGCACCACCGAGTTCATTTGACATAGCCACTGCCAGAAACCCTAGTAAGTTCGGTCTCATCGATAGGGATCTCGGTCTCACCGAGATGGGATTGCAGACTCTCTATTTCCCTTCGTAACGTTTCGGTCTAATCAAGATGAGCGATCAGTTCCACCGAGTTCGTAATGCAAACTCTCTGTTTCCTTTTCGTAATGTTTCGGTCTCACCGAAATGAGCGATTCGGTCCCACCGAATTTGCCTGACCAACCCTCTGTTTGCCTATTACAGAAATTGGTCTCACCGAGATTACGTTGTGCCCTAACCCTAATGAAATCGGTCCTTCCGAGTTAACATATCGGTCCCACCGAGAATCCTAACGTTCACATTTAAATCGGATTGACCGAGTTTAACTATTCGATTCCACCGAGTTTGGTAAATTGTGTGTAACGGTTAGATTTTGTGTGGAGGCTATATATACCCCTCCACCCATTCTTCATGCGTGGATAGAGCCATCAAAACGTGCCTACACTTCCAGCATTCATTTTCTGTGAGAGAACCACCTACTCATGTGTTGAGACCAAGATATTCCAATCCAACCACAGGAATCTTGATCTCTAGCCTTTCCCAAGTTGCTTTCCACTCAAATCATCTTTCCACCAAATCCAAATCTGTGTGAGAGAGTTGAGTGTTGGGGAGACTATTATTTGAAGCACAAGAGCAAGGAGTTCATCATCAACACACTATCTATTACCTTTTGGAGAGTGGTGTCTCCTAGATTGGTTAGGTGTCACTTGGGAGCCTCCGTCAAGATTGCGGAGTTAAACCAAGGAGTTTGTACGGGCAAGGAGATCGCCTACTTCGTGAAGATCTACCCTAGTGAGGGAAGTCCTTCATGGGCGATGGCCATGGTGGGATAAACAAGGTTGCTTCTTCGTGGACCCTTCATGGGTGGAGCCCTCCATGGACTCGCGCAGTCGTTACCCTTCATGGGTTGAAGTCCCCATCAACGTGGATGTACGATAGCACCACCTATCGGAACCACACCAAAAATCTCTGTGTCTACATTGTGTTTGCTCCTTCTAACTCCCCCCTTTACCTTCATATGCAATGATTACATTCCCCTGCTATACTCTTAGAATTGCATGTGTAGGTTGATTGCTTGACTTAAAATTGGAAAAAGGCTAGATTTTTATTTGGTTAAGTAGTCTAATCACCCCCCTCTAGACATACTTTCGATCCTACAAGTGGTATCAGAGTTTTGGTCTCCATTTGCATTGATTTCCATAGCTTTGGTGATCATAGCCTTGGTTTCACAACCTAGGAGAGTATGGCATCTAGCGAGAGAAATTACCACCGTAGAGGTCCTTACTTTGATGGTACTAATTTTGCTAGTTGGAAGCATAAGATGAAAATGCATATTCTTGGACATAACCCCGCCGTTTGGGCTATTGTGTATATTGGCTTGTAAGGTGAATTCTTTGATGGGAGAGAACCGAACCGTGAAGCTACCGCG